ATTGAAAAAGTGGTGAATCGTGAGTTAAAGTTGTATTACAAACTAAAACATGCAGATGTTGCTTGCATGAGTGTCGCCCTCTATGTGTAGAAGGAATAACTACATTTTGAGATAGGCAGAGCCAGTGAAGTTCTGGTCACATGTACTAATTCAGGAATGTTGATTGGCGGAAGTATCACAAACCCAAAGTAGCATATTTTGCTCAATATTTAAATAAATAAGTCTATTCACAGCACAATTGCAAAGAAATGATGGCAAACATCATCTGTAATGTTAGAAAAATACTAGTATGTAAATAGTGTTGCATGATAATTAAAGAATATTAAAAAACTTGAATAAATGGGTGTGGCCTCATGATGGCCAATACAGTGCATGTAATAATAGTTGAAATAATTTCGAAAATCTTGAGTAAATATGAAAAACCGCTGAAACTTCAATCAAAGTTCATAATTCGTAAAGTCCAACCAAGTAGTAGCAAATCTTGGTTAAATACAAGTTAAATAATCAGAGATGAAGATGCGTATATACAGATGATTACCACCGTACATTATGATGAATGGTACATGGTCTTTTGTAAGGCTGATTGATTAGATAATCATAATTGCCGATATTTCTGAATAGATCAGAGGGATGATTCTCAATACCATCATAAAGTTTATGTACAGTTTTTAGTATTTCTTCATCAATTGTATTAATATGGATATCTCTATGAAGTACTTCATTTCACACAAATCAAGGGGTACCCAGCATGGTTCTGATGATTTTGTTTTGGATTTTTTTGTAAAGGAGCTCTGTTTGTCCGGGCAGCAGCCGCCCAAACAGGTGAGCTGTAAAGCATAATTGGACAAATTAATTGCAGATAAATAATTCACTTAGTATTAATGCTCAATTTAGAATGTCTATTGAGAACAGAATAAACCCTCATAAATGACTGCATGGTTTTGATGTGAGTATATTGCAGATGAGCTTTGAAATTTAATTTGAAATCTAAGATAACACCTAAATACTTGACTGAGTTTTCTCTGTTGATTGATTATTTATATATACAGTGGATGGACAAAAATATGGAAACACCTTGTGAAATGCATGTTTGAAAAGAAAGTTAATGAAATATGTAGGTGGCGCTGGCGTTTTTGGCTACTGACGCCACCTATACAACTTCGTAAATGTGCTAAACAGTTCAGTTGTTGTCGGAGTACTGTTATGTGAGGTTGTCATTGCATTATGTCAGAGTTAACAGACTTCGAACGTGGGCAAATTGTTGGAGCACGTATGGTAGGTGCTTCCGTAAGCAAAGTAGCCGAGGTGTTTAGTGTTTCAAGAGGTACTGTATCGAAGATTTATTCCGCATATTTGAAAAGCGGAAAAATATCATCTGCTAAATCACAGCGCGGATGAAAGTGTGTCCTGAGTGATCGTGACAGATGATCATTAAGGGCAATTGTGACGAAAAATAAGACGACCACAAAAGTTACTGCTGAAATGAATATTGTGTTACTGAACCCTGTGAGTACCAAAACAATTAGAAGGGAGCTTCATAAACAGGGAATTGCTGGCCGTGCTGCAATTGAAAAGCCACTCATCAGTGATGCTAATGCCCGTAACAGGAAAAGGTGGTGTTTAAGTCATAAAGCCTGGACTATAGAGCAGTGGAAGTGAGTAATATGGTCTGACGAGTCTTCTTTCACATTGTTTTCCCACTTCTGGCCGAGTTTACGTCTGGAAGAACGCCATCTCAAGCCTATAATACAGACTGCTTGTTGCCAAGAGTGAAACATGGCGGGGGTTCTGTTATGGTTTGGGCAGCCATATCGTGGTTCTCTGCTAGCCCCATGATAACTGTGTCAGGGCACATGACTGCCAAGACTTATGTGAACATTTTGGCCGATCAAGTTCATCCCATGGTACAAACTTTGTTCCCCGATGGTGATGGTGTCTTCCAAGATGACAAAGCCCCTGTTCACACAGCTCACATTGTCCAGGACTGGTTTTTCTGAGCACGAGGATGAGTTGTCCCATCTCCCCTGGCCACCACAGTCACCAGACCTGAATATTATCGAACCTTTGTGGTCTACATTGGAACAGAAAGTGCGTTCTCATTATCTGAACTTGCCACCGTTTTGCAGGAAGAATGGTATAATATTATTCCCTTGGCAAACATACAGGAACTGTATTTATCCATTCCGAGAAGACTGCAAGCTGTTTTGGATGCCAATGGGTTTCCTACACCATATTAAGCAAAGAAACATGTTTTTTTTAAAGGTGTTTCCATATTTTTGTCCAACCCCTGTAGAGGCTCACATACTGGATTTCTGGTAGTGCATTTAAAAATTATGTTTATGCTCTTTTGTGAATTGATTTTTACTTTCCATTTTAACAACCAGTCTTGTATATTATCAGTAGCACTTCGAAGTTTAAACTGTGCATATCCAGGGTTGATAGATATGGAGAAGATTGCAGTATCATCTGCATACTGAGCTAGCTCAATACCTGGATAGCATGGAAAATCATTCATGCAGATAACATATAAATATGGGGCTAAATTTCCTCCCTGAGGGACTCCTGCATTTATTTTCCTTTTAGTGGATTAATTCTAACTTGAAAAAGTCAGTTTTGCAAGAGTTGTATATAATCATAATAAGAGCTGGTGGGAATTTGCAATTGATTAGTTTAAATATAAGGCCAATATGCCAAACTTTTATCAAAAGCTTTTTCCACATCGAGGAAAAGAGCAGCTACTGTTTCTTTTTTGTTGAAGGCTTCACCAATCTTCTCAACGATGTGGGAGACTTGATGAATAGTGTCATATTTTTTTCTGAATCCAAATTGATATGGAGAAATGATATTGTTTTCTTGGACATATTGTTGGAGTCGTTTTTTAATAATTTTCTCTAGTAGTTTAGATATAGCAGGCAAAAGAGAAATAACTGGTTGTTAATTTCTTGTCTTTTCCAGGTTTTTTAATGACAATTATGGTTGCAATTTTCTAAGTATTTGGGAAATAGTTATATCTGAGACAGGCATTGAAAAGGTTTACCAGGAAAATGATAGTCTTTTTTGGGTAAGTTTTGAAGAGCAATATTTGAGATTTTACCATACCTACAAGCTTTTTTTAGGATTGAGATTTTTAATTAAACATGTAACTTCTAATGGGGTGGTTGGAGTATTTGCTGTGCTCCTATTGGAATTTATGAAGTTGCTGACATGATTCTCCATGTTGTTGTCTTCTGGATGTGAGAAATCATTATTTTTAAACTGTTCTTCATAAGCATCAGCAAATGCGTTTGCAATTTTTCTAGGATGATAAATATTAATATTATTTCTCTCAATAGGCCCTATTTTTTGGGGTAGGATTTCTGATGCTTCTTGCCAGTTTCCATATGGAGTGGTCAGTGTGGGATAAACTACTAACATAATCATCTTATCGATCTCTTTTATGTTCATAACATAATTTTTTAGCATTATAGTAAGTTCTTTTATAATTATTTTTGTCCCTTGGATCTAGGGTTCTTTGCCAAATCTGTTTGTATTTCTGATTTCGTTAATTATATTGTTGGCCAGAGAGTAATCTTTCTTATTTGAGTTGCTGGTAGCTTTATTGATGGAATCCAGAATTTTGCTATTAAATTTATCTATTGCACTGTCAATTAGATCAGGATTGGTCATCTTGGCTGTAGCTGAGATGTTGCTATCAAGAATATAATTAAAATCAATCCAGTTGACTTTTGTAGGATGTGGAGACATAAAATGCTTTAAGTTACGCATTATAAACATGATGTGATTATGATCAGAGTCCAGATCTGTGAGATTGATGAGATCAGGAATTTGCAGAATATTGCAAGTAATTAATTTATCAATTACATCAAGAGTGTTATTACTATTATTAGAAATATGCGTGGGTTCATTAATAGCCAAAATGTTGATAGGAGAATTTTGCATGTAATTGTAAAGCCTGTGAGATGTGAACGATGGTTTTCAGCACATCTTACACAACGTCGTGTATTATGACAAGCACACTGTGTATGATTATATCTCTGACAGTTATAGCACTGGGTTGGCCCAGGTTTTGATTTATATTTGACTTCACGAACCTATAGTCCTATGATTTTTTTTCGACATGCATGAGTTTTCCCCCCCTCTTCGGTGCGAGGGGCTTCTGTATAATAAACAGGAATATAATTGGAGATGCCTTCTGTAATTCTGGTAAGATTATTTTATCTTTATGATAGGTATACCCTGTGATTTAAGATCTTCCTCAATTTCCTGTTCGGTGAAATCGTTAGGAAGATCTTTAACAGTAGCTCTGACAGTTTTGTCACTGTGCAGAATATAAGAATGATAAGTGATACTTTTATCTCTGAAGAATTCCTGTATTCTTCCAGGTCAAATACTTTTATTATAAGGTTTCCACCTTTAACTTTTCCATCAACTTATAATATTTAATATTTAATTATATATTATAAGTTGATAGTAATATTTAATTTCTCATTGAGATCTTTATTTAGCATTTTCTGGCTAACGTTCGTGTCTGTGATCACAAATAGCGGTATTTTATTAGCATATTTTGCCAGCTGTTGAAAATCATTGTTGTTTTCATTATCTTCTGCATTATGATATCATTGATTCCTGGTAAAGGGGCTGGTTTCATGGCTGATTTTTATGGTTTTTCCTCCTTAGTTAACTTGAGTACAAAGGCCGGCTTGTAACAAAGGCCTGCTTTCTCCTAAGCAGCTAGCACCCACATGCTTTGCATTTTCAAATAAATGAATCGTAAAGCATGAAAGCAAATGTATATATTTTTAAAGCTACCATGGCTGAGGTTTATCAGCTTACTACATCTCTGTTAAAGGTTGAAAATGGTTATTGTTTCACAGACATCTTATTTTGTAAAAATATTTAGCTGTGAATTGACTGATATTCCTGAATTAAATTAAATATTTCTTTATAATTTAATTATAATTTTTAATATTATTTAATGTTTTATTTAAAATATTTTTCAGGACAAGAGTGCAAATTTATTAATTCATGGATATGTAGATGAAATAATGATTAAACTGGCAAAGATTTTGGATGTTGAAATTCCTGAATACAAAGCAGCATGTGATCAAACTAAGAGCATGCTTGAAAAGACTCAAGAATATTTACATAATGTATGTGTCAAAACAGATGATTCTCCTAAATCTGAAGGTATTGGTTTTGAAGAACATCGTGATGTTAAATTCAGTTTAGAAAACGTGAAAGAAGAAAATATTTCTCAAACAGAATATACATGATATTTTATTTCTTAATTTTTTATCAAATGTTTTTAATTTTTTATAAAGTTGTTCCAGCACTTTTATTATTTGTGTGCTATGACGGATTTTATACACAAGATTTCATTATTTACATATATAATAGATATGAGTTTCATCCTTTTTAAATCTAAAAATGATTTGAAATAAAACTGCAAGATATGTACATACATACATTATATACACAGTAGAATATGCAGTTCTATACAAAAATGATTAAATTTAAAGTTAAAAATGTCATTATATAATTTATACAAATTATCAGTTTTTAACCATTGAATAATCAGCATAAGAATTACATCAATGTAAACCGTGGAGCTGGCAAAAAAGATCGTGGATTAGGTTTTGGAACTGGAAGGAAACCAGGAGCTCGTGTCGAAACATGTCCAGTTTTTGGCTGTTGCATTTTCTCTTTTCCCACTTTTTTTTTGTTGAATGCAGAGCTATGAAGTAAAAATAATTATTTCATTCATTATGTTATATCATCATCTTGAAACATGTTAAGTTTTATCAGTTTTGTAGATAGTTTGTAAAGTTTGAAAGTTTTATAATGTTATAATATAATTGTAATTAAAAAAATTATGCATTGTATAAAAGCTTCTCTGAGCAGCATTACAAAGGCAATATTCCTTTTAAATGATCATTTTAGTGGTGATTACAGTATAAAAGTAATAAAATTCTGTGCTTTTACAATATATTGTTTTTCTTTTTAAAAATATTTTCAGGATTCAGAAACAGAAAATACACAATTAACCTTCTTAAATCCGGGTCGAAATTCTCATAATATAGCCATCAGACCGGCGCGGTCGGAAACAGTTTTGCCCCCTCGTTGACATTTTCCTAATGAGAAAAGTCGTTAGTCCCCCTCCATGGATGTAGTAAAATTTACATGTTTGTCGGACACTGTCCCATAGTAGATGGGTTGCTAGATTTGCGATTTTTTCGATGATTATTTTGCTTTCATTTAAATGAAGTTATGCATATCCAGTGCACTACTGATTTAGAACAAAATGTATGCAATGTTTATATTTCACTCACTATTTCTGATCAATCTCAGCAATAATTTGTTAATTGTAAATTTTATAACTTTGTTTTCACACTTCATTTATATTCGCGTATTTCGTATTAGAAATTAGAAAAAAAAAATTTACAAAATATAATTAAATATGAACTAGATTTGTAGTCTGCAGGATGGAATGCGATTTTTAATAACATATTTTCATTAATAAAATAATGGTAATGACTAATTTAATGAAATAATAATAATAATATTTATTACCATTAGATGATTAGAATGAGATTCAATACAATTAGATTTTGAGATGAACTTACAACAATAATAAAGCTTTACATAACAATAACAGAGCTTTAAATCTGCTTTTTTTTTTGATAATTTTGTTATTATAATATAAAAAAGAAAATCTTAGATACATAGGTTGCGTATCATCATTTAACTTTAACATATATTACATTGGACTATCAGGCAAAGGAGGTATATCTGTTACGGAGAAACACTGAAATCTGGAGAATGTCAACTTTCACCGGTGAATGTCAACATTCACATAGTTGCTTGGTGTATGTCTGAAATATTTTCCAAATACTCTTATTTCTGACTTACACCAGTGAATGTCGACATTCACCATGTACTAATGGTGAATGTTGAACATATAAGAATATTATATTTCCTTCTCCGTAATTCATTTGCGAAAAAACACACTTGAGACTCAGAATAAGAACTTAAAACACACAGTTTATTCAAAATGAGAAAGGAAATATAGAAGTTTAAAACTTACCAAATATGTGATTCAAATCTTATTTAACAACGCCACTTAAACTATTATGACACTTTGAATTGCACAAGAGGCCCTTGCTTTTACAACTGCATTTATTTGTGGAACACTTCCTTTTGGAATGGCAGCGAGTTATATCACCTGAGCAAATACATTGAAATGTATCGAGCCGAGAACTTTTTCTTTGTAAAATTGGCTTTTGTTTATGTTAGCAGAGAAAAAAATCTGTGACTTATACATGCAATCATCAAAAGAATTTTGAGAACAGTTTTAAATGTTCATGAAGAATTAATTATACGTCAATTTCTTTTCCATAGGTAGAAATTTCGTCTAAAACCATCGTTATATCCAAAAGTTGAAGTCTATTTCATTTTCAACGAATATTCTATTTGCACATAATATATTTTCCAATTTATTTTAGAAAGAGTAATCTTTCACGTTTTCAAAAGAATAAGGAAATATGGGTGTTGATACAATGTAGTAAATTTGTTTTTTATATTTCTTCCAGTAATGAAAACGATTACCCTGCAATATTTTCAAAGCAAAATTAAGAAAACCGTTTACGCCAAATTTGCATAAAGTATCTTCTCGTGTATTTTTTTATTTATTTATTTAAAGTGTGGAATTTTCTCTTTGAAAAAATCAAAAATCATGAAGAGCAAAATTAATTCATGAGAAATAACTTTGAAATGCAATAATTCCATTGTAATATGAAATAGTGGAGAAAAGTGCAATACAGTTTATTTATTCACAAATAATCCCCCTCATATGCGTAATTTATGTACTGTCGATTGAGAAATATAGGTTAGTAAATTAAACCGGTTAATTTCAATACTTTTCCTTTATCAATATTTTTTTACGGGCTCTTCAGTAGAGCGGTAAAGGTGGCTGAACACTTGTAGCTCGCTTGGGTTTTGAATCCCGGATAAATAGTTGGATTCATGGTTTTGTGTAACGTAAATGCAAGCCAGCTTCTCTTAGAAAGTCCTCCGCGAAGACATAACTCCCCTTATACAGGTAATTGTTGTGGTGCTTTGATGTAATTCAGTAAGCGAACAAAATTAATCCAATCAATACCCGAAGAACGGGTTGATTACATGTGGAGTTTTCCACCAGGAATGTAAATGCGAGCAATTTTCTCTTAAAAAGGTTTACACGAAAGCATCCATTCCCCTTAAGCAGATAGCGTTCGCGTGCTTTTCCGTAATCCAATCCTAATTTTCATACACATTTAATAGTAAGTTGACATACACCTTATTACAGACAAAATAACAACCTTTTTTAAAGATATTTTTTTATCAACTTGTCTGAATTCTCTTATCTCTTGAGGAGTATAAGAATTTCAGCAAATAAAACTGGCCAAAATTTTATAAAATGTAACTGATGTTTTGATTCAGTTTAGAAGTAACGTGAGCTTTACTGATATTTAAATATTTTTTGGCAGATCTCATCCTAAAAGAGGGTTTAAAGATAAATTGATTTTATTTAATTTACAATCAATGAAAATCATTGAAAGCAATCACTGAATGAATGAAAATCAGAAAAACTATTATGCATACAATTGTCTCTTATTTATCTCCTGATAAATCAGACAAAATTGCCTGCATAATAGAAGCACTTTGAAAGAGTTGACAGTTCTTAAGGGTTTTATGCACTCCACAAAATGTCAAAATCTTATTATTCATAAGTATGAAGTAAAGAAGTAAACGTAAGGTTTTACCTATTTTCTAGAAGGGCATTAAATCTAAAATATTAATCTATTCTTATTTGCTATGATTAAAAAGCATTAAATCTGGTAAGCTTAAAGAGCGTGCAAAATCGCTGACGTTTTAATCATAGCAAAAGTCAGTACTAAAAAAATTAGCTTTAAAATTATGAGACAGTTTGAGAGAGAGACGACCTCTATTTGATTTTAAATATATCGGCGCAAGACGAAACCTGCGGTTTTTGCCAAAATGTAGCCAAACTGATAAGAAGAGGGAAATAATGCGTAGCCAGCGGCTATTCTGAGCAGCGACAATGGGCCACTCAGAGATCTACAGATAGGCGATTCTCTAAAATAGGGAGAGCATGGCCACAGCCGGCATCAAAGAAAGTAATTTTCCTGGTAGAACTGCTGTACCCGCCGGCTTCAGAAAGTTAAGGAAAATATATAAACAGGGGAAAAAAACTAAACAAGTGAATTATCCATAAACGAACTACTAGTTTAATTAATGTTGGAAAAAACTCGGAAGGCTATAATATACAACATAGGTTTGAAATCTTAACTTTATGCAAGAGTGGTTGGAAATTTTCTCTTGAGACAAGTCATGAAACTCTTTTTAAATATTAGAAACTGTAAAATCATCTTCAAGAATACCAAAAAAATTTATAAATTCAAAATAATGATTCCATGTTTGAATATACTATTATCTGCTTTTGTCAATATGAGCATGATTTTGCCCAGCTAAAATTTTTTCAGAACAGTAAAAACAGTGATATCATTAGGATAAGAGATGAGGTATTTTAAGTGACCTTGTTGAAGAGCCAAAAATATTTTAGAAAATAAAGCAATTCAAAATAAAAAGCGGGCATGATTAAAAAATTATTAAACCTTAAAAAAGGTACAAATTTTAACATATACTAGTTCTGTATGATACTATTTAGGACATTTTGATAATAATTGCAAACAAAAATATCTACATTTCATTATAAGCCTGGCTTGGCATTTGGAATGCAACCACAAGAAATCTTTGCATGATTCACTTTCCTTCTCTCTTTTTTCTTTAAATCACTGATGGCAGTTAAGTTAAATGAGACACATCATATCTAGTTAATTTTTATTCCAAGTAATTCTTATGATTAAATTTATTTTTAGCACAAGGAGGGCTCCATTAAACTAATGTGAGGCTCTAATCACAGTGTTGTTTCAAAAGTCTTCAATGTCCACTTTCCTTGCTTTTATGAAATGAGTATATATAAAAGACTGTAGAAAAGTATAGGGCGGTTTAAAAACCTTAACCTCGGTTAGCAACTGCTTTCTTGAAATAAAAGTAATATTTCTAGTTGCTAATGTTTTGCACTCTAAATTAATATACATTTTTATGCAGAATTAAGAAATCATAAGAGGAAGTGTGAATTGTTCAGTAAGGTCTAAAGTTAATCTCCAAATTCTCGATGACTTTTTCATCATAATTAATGTGTTAATACAGCACATTAAAACATTTGGTTATATTATAATTAAATTGTCCACATATAGTCGTGAATAATTATTGATTGCACCCTGCAGGAACCAAATCCCAGGATAAATGTAAATCCATATGTTAATTCTAGTCCTAAATTATCTCAGTGTAAAATTCCATACAGATCAGCTGCATTATTATGTTAAATATATAAAATAACAAATGGCTTGATTTTGTCATTGGAATTTAAGACTTTTTCAAAATTAAATGAAACTGCTCTTCTGTGAATATCAGAATCGATCAGTTATGCCCCGAGAATTCTATGTATCTAAAAAGCGCACCAAACTTGAAAAAAAGTCTGCAGTATCTCACTAAGTAGAACATTTTCAGGAAATGTGTAATTAGGTCCCATGCTCATGTTAACTGGAACAGCATTTGAGTTTTGAGTGTGTGGTTTCTAACACTTTCTTGGGAAAGCATCAGATATCTTAA